CCCGGCTCTCTGAGCAGGCATGTGCCAGCGGCCCATCACTCCTGAAGGCATCACCATAAGGAGTCGCAGGGCTCCGTTTTGCCTCTTTAGTGTATCTAACTAGAGAATTAAAGAGCCGCGACACAGCCAAAAGTCCTCGGAAACCACTGGGAAGATCTTCGGTGACGTGGGATAGGCATGGGGGTCAAGATGCTGCCARACACGGATCTCAGCTAAAAGCTAGGTGCTACATGGTGAAAAGGTGCCTGTTATTTTAACTCACTCCTCCGATCTGCAAAGGATTTTTTTGGTGACTGTTTTTACCGAGAYGACGGGAATGTAGCTGTGCAGGTGCACAGGAGGGCGCCCAGCTCACTGCCAGACATGGGAGCCCTGTGGTGCACGTGCTCGTGCCACTGGCGCCGGCACAGCCCCCTGCCAGGGGCTCTTCCCTCAGGACTCCTCCAGCCTGTGCCCGTCCGCGCAGTTGCACCAGCCCTGCCGCTTCCAGCCACGGCCCGAGCCAGAGCGGTGAGCCAGGGCACCCCACGCCGTGCTGCCCGCCATGCCGTGGCATGCAGAACCCCAGAATCGTCATGCCTGGGAAAGACCTTAGGACCAACCCCCCTGCATGGCGCTGCTAATCCGGGCCTCCGAGCGCCGCCTCTGCACGGTTCCCAACAGGAACCTCCTCCGCTTCCCCACGCAGCCTGTCCCAGTGCCGGACACCTGCTGCCCTGCTGCCTCATGTCTAGCCTGAACCCCCATGCGCCCCATGCTGGTGGCACCAGCCAGCCCCACGGCTCCGCATGGCAGCCAGTGTCCCCCACAGCCCTGCGCTGGGCTCAGGTGTCCCCCATGGCCCTACCTGGGGACCAAGTGTCCCCCACAGCCCTGCCCTGGGCTCAGGTGTCCCCCAGAGCCCTGCCCTGGGGACCACGTGTCCCCCCACGGCCCTGTCCTAGGCACAAGCGCCCGCTCAGGCCGCTGCCCTGGGTCAAATGTCCCCCCGTTCCCGCCCCGGGCACTGAGCTCGCGCTCAGCCCGGCCCGCGGGCTGGCACCCCCGCCCCGCCCCTCGGCCGTTGCCCCGCCCCTCGGCTGTTGCCCCGCCCCTCGGCCGTTGCCCCGCCCCTCGGCCGTTGCCCCGCCC